AAAAAAAAAAAAAAAATTCTTGGGCTCAAGCAATTCTCTTGCCAAAGCCTCCTGAGTAGATGGGACTACAGGTGCACACCACAATGCCCAGCTCTATTTTAGAGACCTCATCTTGCTCTTGCTCAGGCAGGTCTGGAACTTGTGACCTCGGGTAATCTGCCCACCTCAGCCTCCCAGAGTGCTGGGATTACAGGTGTGAGCCACCATGCCCAGCCTTAGTTTTTCTACTTTTAGTAGACATGGGGTCTTGCTCTTGCTCAGGCTGATCTCAAAATCCTGAGATCAGGGACTCTTTTGCCTCGGCCTCCCAGAGTGCTAGGATTACAGGTGTAAGCCGCTGTGCCCGGCCTAAAATGGTTTTTAGAAACACAGGGTCTCCTGGGAGGCGCCTGTGGCTCAATGAGTAAGGTGCCAGCCCCATATACCGAGGATGGCAGGTTCAAACCTGGCCCCAGCCAAACTGCAACAAAAAATAGCCGGGTATTGTGGCGGGTGCCCATAGTCCTAGCTACTTGGGAGGCTGAGGCAAGAGAATCGCCTAACATCAAGAGCTGGAGATCGCTATAAGCTGTGACACTATGATACTCTACTGAGGTTGACAGAGTTAGACTGTGTCTCTAAAAAGAAAGAAAAAAAAGAAAGAAACAGGGTCTCCCTATATTGCTCGGGCTAGAGTTGAATTCCTGGGCTCAAATGATCTCAGCCTCCTGAGTAGCTAGAACTGCAGGTATGCATCACCTCCCTGAATGGAACAATATTTATTCCTCTTTGCTTGGCTTTTTGTCATATAAGTGCTCAGTGAATGGAATAATAATGAGTGGATGAGGGTCTCTTTATGGACTAGAAAGGACACTGGACTGTGAGCCAGAAAATATAAGTTCTAGATTAGACCGGGCAGTTAACTTACAGTGTGACCCTAAACCAGCTATCATTCAATTCTGTGCCTCAGTGAAGTAAGGGTGTCTGGATGCTCTGAAGCCCAGCTGACTATGACACCCTTCTAGTTCTCAGGTTCCAGAGTTCTAGAACTCTGCTTACGCTCTTCTTCTTTACCCAGACGGGCCTGTGTGTGCCCCCCATGAACAGAGCTGTTCCAGAGGTGTTCCTCGCGGGTGGAGACCTGGTACCCCAAGGCCACATTCGCCGCTGCCTGTCTGCAGTAGAGTCCAGAGAACAGCTGGAGGAAGAGAAGGAGGATGAGGGAAAAAAGAAGGAGGGGAACAGCTCCCATGCTGTACCCCTCCGAAGATCAGGGGCTTTCCGTGCCCATGGTCACAACTACGACTCCTTTAAAAGACACAGTTGGGGGCCTGACAGGGAACCCCAGGACTCACTGAGCAGGTAAGCCCCCAGGGGACCTCCTGTCCCTCCTTCCCTCAGGCCAAGACCTTGGAGAACATGACTGATGGATTATTCTGGTGCTCTTGCCCCTCCAATAGTTGTCTCTGTAGAAACATCGCTGCAGAGTGATAGGAGCTGAGTAGACCTGGGCCCCTAAGTCCTTCCTCTGGAGAATCAGAACCCAAGCCTATAGTGGCTGTTTGGGAAGATGAACCCCACCTTTCAAATGTGGCTTTTCCCACTAGCCCCTCCTTCCTCTGTGTGATCTCAGGACAGATTCACGATGGGAGTAGGAAGGAGGTGTGGGGCTGGGTGAGGTCAGGACACTGCCTCCTCCTCCCACTCCTGCTTTCATAGAACCATACAATGGTATCGGTGCAGGAAAGAGCTCAGAGTTCATATGGCCGATCTCCTCATTTTTTAAGTAAGGAAACTAAGGCCCAGAGAACTTTTAGAGGTTTCTTGAGAGAAACGGTCCCCAGATTGGGGCATTGGCCTGCCCCCATCCCAGATTCCTGCCAACATTTTGGTTCCAGGCTGAGGCAGCCTCAAATTTCTTGGATTAATTCATAGCACAGTGCTGAGATAGGTGTCAGCTGTTCTTGCTCAGAGTTCTGCATATGCTCGGTAGACCAGGGCAGAGGAACCCATGTCTTCCCTCTCCCCTGGAAAATCCCTGACCACTTCCCCAAAGACAGAGGAAGTTGGAAAGAGAAGGTCCAGGGGGTCAGCATGAAGAGTTCAGTGTCATCACAGGGGCCTGCTAGCCATGGAAAGGCATTGTCCCTCTGTTATGACAGTGGTCCCCATGGACAAGTCCTTTTAGCTCTGGTGAGTGGACCAACCTTCTCCAGTTCCTGGGCAAGGGCTGATTGGGTTGACTGAGGGGAGGGATATTGTCCTTGAACTGGCTTGGGCTGGAACTTGGGTGAGGATCAAGGCCTATAGGACTTTCCAGGGCTGGCTATCCCTTCCTAAGAGCAGCTGGTTGAAGGCAAAGATACCATATGCCTGGGCACTCCTTGTGTGGTACCATCTATACCTCAGGGTCTTTCGGGTGTCACCCACCTTTCACAACCAGGCATTAATTCTTCCCCTTAGAGAGGTAAGGGTCCCCTGAGCAAACCGTTTAGCTGAGTAGAGATGACGGCTGGCATCCTCAATCAGGCAAGAAATGAAAATTCAGCCACCTTTGGCCTTCTCCCCATGAGCCCTGGCTTTCCTCTGGAGGACAGTAGTGTCCTTTGACCAGCAGGGGCCGCCCTTGCCCACGGCCCTTTTTGTAGCTGCCAAGCAGAGCTCTAAAGGTTACAGATGGGTCTGGGCTACACCTCTGCCAACAGGAAGGGCTGGGTTGGGGGCAAGAAACAGAACTGGACTGAGGTGGTGTCCCTCCCCTGCACCTGTCCCTGGCCACTGGATCCAGAGGGCAGCGGTGGCAATGTGTGTTTCAGGAAGAGACTGCAGGCACTGGGAAGCCCAAGCCCCGAAGAGGCTCCCTTACTGCAGAGCCAAGAGGAACTGGACACCTTTCTGGGACTGCAGCACCAGGGTACCCAACCATCCTGCCTGGTAAGGACAAACAAATCCCCATAGAGGTCACCGCCTTGCTCCCACCTCCTGCCCCTGGCCTTTCTCAGCCCCCATTCTGTGTCTTTTCTGTTCTACCAGGTGCTGGGTCACTCTACACCCAGGCATTGCTTTGACTCCAGATCAAATCTAAATTTGTCATCTATATCCGTTGTCTCCTTCCCTGGGTCTGCATGCCCGATGCTTGATATCCTGCCTCAGTTCTTTTTCTGAGACCCTCTGTCTCTTCTCTGTATTTGTGTCCCTGTATTGATGTGGATGTATCTGTTCCTCTCCCACTAAAAGGCCCCTGCTCCCCTAATACTTAACAACCGCTTCTTTCTGTAAACCTGGTAGCTCCCATGGGGGAGCTGAACTTACTATCTGTGAGGCCCTGAAAGACAACAGTTCTCTAGTGAGATGATCATACTGCCTAAGAAAGGGTGAAGAGACCAACCAGCCTCTGGCTTAAGGGAAACTAATTTGGGATCTCAAACCAGGCTCCAAGGTCCACTAAGAATACCTGAGGGTTTTGAAGACATCACTGGGTACACTGACATGTCCTAAACTGGGTGGGAAGGTCATTCTCCCCTCCAGCTCACCCTCTAGCTGGCCTACGGTTCCAACATTGGCCTCTAGTGTGCCTAAAGGAAGGGCTATGTACATTCAGTTCCTCAGGGGCAGCAAGAGCTCCTCACCTGCCTTCTCCACCAGCGAGTCCATATGTCCCCCCTCCCCATTTCAATGTGGTACAGTAGAAAGAACAGGATTTGAAAGTCAAACTGACTTCTAGACCCTTTATCAGTGGAGATATTTCATCTTCCTCAAATCAGAATTATACAACTATTAGTTACAATTATTTGGGGTGGCGCCTGTGGCTCAAGGAGTAGGGCGCCTGCCCCATATGCTGGAGGTGGTAAGTTCCAGTCCAGCCCCAGCCAAAATTGCAAAAAAAAAAAGTTACAATTATTGTAGCACTCTGGGGAGGCTGAGGCCAGTGGATTGCTTGAGCTCACAGGTTAGAGACCAGCCTGAGCCAGAGCGAGACCTTGTCTCTAAAAATAGCCAAGCACTGAGGAGGGTGCCTATAGTCCCAGCTACTTGGGAGGCTGAGGCAAGAGAATCGCTTGGGTCCAAGAGTTGGAGGTTGCTATGAGCTATGATGCTAAAGCACTGTACTGGAGGTGACAAAGTGAGGCTCTATCTCAAAAGCAAAACAAGTTACAATTATTGGCCAGATGCAGTGGCTCACACCCATAATCCTAGCACTCTGGGAGGTCAAGGCAGGTAGATTGCCTAAGCTCAGCCTGAGCAAGGGCGAGATCTCATCTCTAAAAATAGCCAAATGTTGTGGTAGGCACCTATTGTCTCAGTTACCTGTGCGGCTGAGGCAAGAGAATCGCTTGAGCCAAAGAGTTTGAGGATGCTGTGAGCTGTGATGCCACCGCACTCTACCAGAGGTGACAAAGTAAGACTCTGTCTCAAAAAAAAAAAAAAAAAAGTTACAATTATTGGCCAGGCTCAGTGGCTCACACCTGTAATCCTAGCACTCAGAGGGGCCAAGGTAGGAGGATTGCTTGAGCTCAGGACCAGCCTGAGCAAGGAAGAATGAGACCTCATCTCAACTAAAAATAGAAAAATTAACCAGGCGTTGTGGTGGGTGCCTGTAGTCCCAGCTACACTGGAGTCTGAGACAGGAGAATCACTTGAACCCAGGAATTCCAGGTTGCTGTGAGTTATGGTGATGCAGTAGCACTCTACCCAGGGCAACAGAGTAAGACTCTATCTAAAAAATAAATAAATAAATAAATACTAAAATAAACATATTTAAAAGGTTACAGTTATTAAATGTAGAACAGTCATGGAAGTGCTCAGCACAGAGGCTGGCACACAAGATGAGCTGAATCAATGTTACCTTCCCCTTCCCCCCATTTTCCTTTACTTTCCTTCTCCCAGCTCTCCCCCTTGTAGGTAGTACATGTTTTCTAACTTCTCCCTTTTCCTGTTTTTCCCTCTTATTATGCCTTCCTGCTTTGATTCCTTTCCTCTCTTTACCAAATCTTTAAGCCCTCCTTCTAATATTCTTTTTGTGTCTGTGTTTGGGGTGGGGGTGGGGGTTATGTTTTCTTTCTGTAGCAAATGTCTGCAGACCAAAAGCCCAAGATTCCTTAAGCTAGACTAGGGGTTGCCGACTCACAGTCCCTGAGCCAAGTCCTGCTCCAAAATTTATTGTGTTTGGCCAGTAGGGTGTTTTTTAAAATTCAGATGTTCTTTAAGTGGGCCTGTGCTCTCCAATTTGCCACAGTTGCTAATACTCTCTGTTATAGTTTTCTTTTTCTCTTTGTTTTTCTTAAATATAACTTTTTTTTTTTTTTTTGAGACGGAGGCTCA